AGTGAATTTGTGGCCATATCAAGTTGTCAAATGAAGTTCACACTTCCTCAAAATAACTGGCAACAGTAATCTATGAAACGCACACTTGCTACAAGCAAAACAAACAAATGAGTTGATCACAAATCATTTTTTACTTTTCGCTTACTCAATAAAACAAGCTTATTAAACCGTGAACAGTAGGCAAAGATTTTGGAAGATATTCTGTTAAATAACTTACATCTTTCGCCCATGAGCTAGAGAATCACCTCTGCTCTTCTGTGTGGATGTCAGTAAAAAGTTAAGACGCTGATCAATCCAGTATGTTCTCCTTTTAGATTACAAAGAGCTCTTCAACATCCATGCCCAACATCTTAATTACTTAATGGCGACGCATGATTTCCAGTGGACAGGTTCATGGTGCTCCTCCGTCAAGGTTGAGTCGGACGAGGACCGCGGCTACCACCAAACTCAACGCCTCCATATCGCTCAAGGTCATCATCAGGCCATTTTCCCCTTAGGTAGTACTGCCTCCATGGATGAATATCAGTTGACTGTTCTCGGCGACTTCATTCAGTGTTGGCAGACTTTCGTGCAGTTTGCGACCAGGACGCAGGAAAACGGTAGCTGTGATTTCTATGGGAAATGGAGCTAATCGTAACTATCCTGAATGAATTGTAACCGGACTCAGATTTTCTAATCGAAAATAAAACGCAATTCTTAAATACTTGCCCAGACTTAGTGATGTACGACCTTCAACATTGATAAAGCAGAAACGCGTTTAGTGAATAACGCCACAGTGTCGACACCGTAGGCGGTCAAGTAAGTTTGATCCGCATCACTCCACAAAGATGCATTGGTAGTTTAATGTTGTAACGATAGTTTAAATTCGTGCGATAAGGAGCGTATTGATGTTGAACTTTAAACACCTAAACTTCAAGGTAGACCTTGCTAAGTGCATGGACATTTCATTGGGGCTACCTCTAGCCTAATCACAAAAAGCACTAGCATCATTGAAACAATTTTTCATAAAATTTAGGCTCCCAACTAGTAAAAGCCTAATAATTGAGTCGAATACACCCTGACTAAAAGTCGTAGAGTAAGTGTTTCACAAAGACAGATAGTTGACAGGAGGATGGCGGAAACCATGCAATTCAGAAGGTTACTAGCAGAGGGAAAAGCATTCAACTAACTCAATTAAATTATTGTTTGGTCCCCTCGAAATGACACGCTTTCAGTAGACGTCATAAATTTGGTTAAACGCCTTGCCATTAACTTGCGGCTGTTTCTAATGCCATAAACTAAATTCACGTAGACCACAATTTGGAGAGTTCGGCAATCATATTATTATTGCAAAACCTCCGGCTTGTCCATTTTTATTAATATAGAAATAAAGCGCTAGACTATAGGTACTATATTTAAATAATGCTGCGATCGCGTGATGCCTCTGATTTTGAAATGGAAGTGTTGGGTAGATATCTACAATTCTTAGATGCAGTCAACATCACTGGAATCACTAGCAGTTGCATTATTTTATTTCGCAAAAATGCTCCAAAAAACGACATATAAGGGATGGATTTCCTTATCAGGTTGCAACTCAGCACTGCGACGACGATGCGCTCAGCTGAATGCGACGGAGATCCGTCCACCGGCGACATCTACATTGGAAATGACGAACCCCGCGATGCTCCATCACGCCTCTGAAGTGATGCACTTCGTTAGCATCGGAGTCACTGGCCTCTTCATAGCCTTTACGGTCCTCAAAATAGTCTGTCTCGGCCGAAAATTCTTTTCCAACATCTATGAGGTCAGTATTGAAGTTAATTTAATCACTGGTTTGGTACATTGTGAGCCTTTAAAGTATAACAAAACTATGCACTTTATACCACTTCTTATATGCTTTCAAAAGCAGCTATAAGGAGTCAATCTACTGCAAGAATTTAACCAAACTACTATGGAATTGCAGGAAAAAATTAACAAGGGATGGAAACTAAATTTGTGGAGCGTGACCCTTGCTGTCTTACATTTAATTTGCAACGGTCTGACTCTTTTTTGATATGTATCTAGAGTGAAGAAAAAGAAGCTAGCTGTTTTTTCATATATTGTTCTTTATTTACTAAGTTCAGCTGCATGGTGAGGCAGTTCAAAAGCATTCCCTTGGTGCTTACATTACAAGGATGAAAATGAGCAAACCTTTGTAAAGTGCCACTTACCAAATTTTGGCGCATATGCAAAGTACTAACCTAATTTACCAGCAAATTAGTGACAGCTCCCCATGAAAGCTCTGCTCATTGCCCCATTGTTAAGAGTGCTCTCAACTGATGCATAGAACAGATGAAAGTGCTCGCCTAGGTTTTCCGTAATGTATTGTGAGTGGATACTGAATAGTTTATCAACGTCATACAAGCATCTTTTCAAGCAGACACGAACTTCCTCTGATTGTAGTTAAATTTCCACCCAAAATACGTTAAAAATACACAGTCATCCAACGTAAGAGGGTTGTAACACGCCAGCATACTTAAACATAATGCCTTCATTTACTTTCCGGTTGTTCAATTTTGCAGGAAGAACTGACATTTATTAGAAGAAGAATCTCATCAATCTTAATGCTCCTTCCTTACTTGGCTCTTGAAAACATAATCAACACCGTTTCTGTTGAAAGATACACCTAGAACGCCGCGTGATCTATTGTTAAGCATCTAGAGGAAGGTTGAAGTTACTGACTCCTGCAGAGTACAGAGTGTTGCATGTAATAAAATTGTTTTTGAGACACTTTTTGGGAGTTTAATACCAGTCCCGTTCGCCTGTGTTAAGCGGCATTTTATTTCAAAACAAAGGATAAAACTTTGAGGTTTATTTTGGAGTCTAAGATGCTGGCTTCAGCATCAACAAAAAAGCAAAAGCATTAATCCACGGTGATCAACGTCTAAAAGAATAAATAAAAAGTGATTTTTTGTACGCAAAATACTGAAAGCTTTGGTCTAATGAAGTTTGTTTGGCAGTGAAAAATTGACACGATTTCAAGTATTTAGTCGAATAGGTTCCATAACACCTACACGAAAGCAAAGATTGCCACTACTTTGTTCTCAGCTGATAATCCACAGCAGAAACCACTTGGCATAAGTCTACATCACTCGCATGGCACTCCACGATCAACTACACTGAGCAGTACGAATGAAGTTTAGCACGTCTTCGGTCGTTGCTACAACTAATCCCTTCGGCTCATTTGTTTCGAGTAAGGACGGACTATGACCAACATTAAATCTTCACTTTGTAAAAAGCTTGCCATTTGACGTTGTTAGTTGCTTTAGTTGGCACGTTTGTGGAGGAGGTGAACTACTGTCATTCTAACGAATGATTTCTCTGTTAGTGTTTTATCAAGTCGACCTCAAAAGACGAAAAAACAAGATTACACTACTGACAGAAAATAAAAAGTAAATGCTTCTACTGTACCACGTGTAAGCAGTTTCAGTTTTTATTGATAAAAACTGAGGCGACGCAAATCTCTTTGAAATTTGAATGCTATTAAAGAATTACTGGATTGATATTAACCCGAAGCCTACTACATTTAGCTTCATTTTAAGGCACTTCAAAGTTTAAAAGCGAATGCGACCAGACTTCTGGGCAGGAATGAAATAATTGGTCACATGCGCCATGCTTCAATTCGAGCTGATTGTCCAAGCCTTGAAGACTGAAGATTGCATTCAAGTCTTTGGGGCTCTGAGAGGCTCATGCACAATAACAAGCTCTTTGTTCATTGCCTTTTGAACAGGTGACCGATGCGCTTGTTATCCTAGTATCATTTGTCTCGGACATATCGTACATAAAACTGGACTCACAGGAAATCTCAGCGATGGTGATTCTTCTCCTCTGGAGAATTGTACGTCTCATCAACGGTAGGTGGATGTTTGTGTGGGCACAAGTGGTTGACCGCACGCCTATTTGCGCCCTGTTTGCTCGTATGTGTGAGGGAGGGACTGACTTCAAAGCAGATCCCGACCAGAATTACTTCCTTATAAATTTCGTCAGGCGCATTGGTGATGCCGTAGGCAAGAATAAAAGCAATTGCACTCCCTTTTTCCGCATCTTCAGTTAAGTTATTAATGAAACTCCACTGCCTTAAATCACACGCCTAAGTGACACGTCAGACAAACTATTTAAAAAGAAGGTCCCACATATATAGACAATAGGAG